GAAGGAGCAGAGCAGGCGAAGGCTCTCTTTCCTAACTGTGTGCGAGCAAAAGGAACAGAAAGTAGCAACTGATCGTTAGACCTTAAAGAATGGGAATCAACATTGTTTCATGTGATTAATGTGCAAATATAAGGAGGTAACTATCCAAACACTGCCTTGTAAATAAAAGCATACCAATGATTTTGCCTTCTAATTGCCAATGACGGCCATTTCACTTGTGAATATAATTCACAGTGATGTGTTATGGCTCTACAGTTTGTGATGAACCTCAGAGACGCATGGTAAACCGAGTCCAGTTTTTGTAGCACAGTTAAAGAAGCATTCATATATATAAGATCACCATAATCTAGTACAGATGAAAAGGTAGTAGTGACAAGTAGCTTTTTTTCCTTCAAAAGAAAAACACGACTTATTACGGAAGTAGAAACCCAGCTTTAGTTTTAATTTTTTCACCTATTTTTCTATATGAGATTTAAAGGTAAGGGAGTTATCTATCCAAACACCTAAGTACTTATACTCATGGACCATCTCTATGACTTTCCCTTCCTTCAAGAACAGTATTTGGCATTTGCCTATTTGTAAAAAACATCAACTTAGTCTTCTCAGCATTAAGGGTTAGCTTTAGCTGATGTAATGAGTGCTGGACAACGTCAAATGCTTTCTGCAGGGATTCAACAACCTGAGAAAGTGATGTTCCAAAACAATAGATGATCGTATCATCTGCATTGAAATGGATATTAGCATCTTTAATATTTTGGCCCAAGTCATTGATGTACAAGATAAATAGGAGGGGCCCCAGTACTGAGCCCTGGAGCACCCCCGTCTGGACAACCCCAAAATCAGAGCAAAGATCCTCGCATTTAATACACGGTGTCCTGTTAGTCAGGTAATTTGAGAACCATGCTACTGAGTGTTCTGACAACCCAAGGCTTAGTAATCTGTTTATTAAAATAGCATGGTCAACGGTATCAAAAGCTTTAGACAGGTCTATGAACAGTGAGGCACAAAACAGTTTCCTATCAAGTGCTACTATAATATCATTTACCACCTTCATAACAGCTGTAGTAGTGCTGTACCCTTTTCTAAAACCCGATTGACATTTCGAGAGGATGTCATTAATAGACAAAACTCTTTTTGCTGAACACTGACAAGTGACTCCATTATCTTGGAAAGCATGCATAAATTTGATATTGGCCTATAATTTGTCAAAACTGCTGGATCCCCTCCTTTTAATAATGGTAAAACATGCTGACTTCCACAGTGATGGAATTTCTTTGGAGTTAATTGAAAGATTAAAAAGAATTGAAAGTGGCTCTGCCACATAATCCGCTGCTATCTTTAAAAAATAAGGTTCTTTGAAATCAGGTACAGGTGGCTTTCTGTGATCTATGTTTTTTAAAACTTTATGAACTTCATGCACTGTAAAATCTCTCGGCCTTGGGGCAGGACTGTAGTCTCTGCGGCCACGACGCGGTGAGTAGCGGTCAGAAGGAGATCGGCAGGAGGAGGGGCAGGTGGGTCCGGGAGGGTTGAAGGGATCCCCCTTCTTCCTCCAGTGAGCTCAGAAATCTTTGATTTTAAGTCAATAATCTCCCGCTCTTGCTCTCGCGTCTTGTGTTTAATGGCTAATAGATCAAGTTTCAGAGCATGTTTCTCATCCTCCAAAGCAGCACATTGATTTACTGCATTAAGTTTTTCTTGTGACAAAACTGCATTGTTTTTCGGAGCTTCATCCAGCGCTTTTCTGTTATACTCCTCCTCCGAGTCAGAGCCGCTGGCTCCACCTCTCTTCATCTGCTCAGAAAGTATGCGCATTGCATCTTGTGTAGCCACATAACTCCTAACTTCCTTATCCCAGAGGTGAGCTAGAAGATGAGCGAAACGTCCCGGCTGCTCCACCCGGATAGCTGGTTTGACTTTCCCACCGTCGTTGAGTAAGGCTGCTGTGTGGTCCTGTAGCTTCTGTAATAGTTCACGTGGTGTGCTCGACAGACTCACCCTGGCTGCAAGCCTCCATGTTTGAGGAACCTATACAGCGTAAAACAGCATCAATAATTACTGTTCCCACAGAGGGAGATACGAACTCTGCCCCATACTACATTTTATCACAATTTCAGTGCATGTCACCAGAAAACACAGAAAAAGTGTAATGCACTAGAGGTGCCAAAAAGGCGCCAGAGCTAGATGCACAGTGCGGAAGGGGTAGTGTGTGCATCACTCCTTGACGTCACTCCGTTACGCACGGATAGTCCATTCCCAAAATGGTGACGGGCCTGGTTTAGACCGCTTTTCACAGAACAAAGTCACAATTTTCACTCAGAACCACTAAAAACCTGCGGAGAGCATGTTTTGTAGGGTAAAGTGAGTTATGACGAAGGCAAATGCTGCCAAGAACGGCTGAAAGCACCGTGGAAATGCTAGTTCGGCGGCGTTGTGAGCCCTGTAACCCTTAGCTTAAGTGGCTAACAGCTCAAACCGTCTGTTTGTGAAGCGAGTCTTTTTGGCGTGATTCTGATGAGAATCAGCCCTTAGACCGAGTAAATCGTGTTGGTAAAACGTGTAATTTGCGGAATGGGTCTTCGCTTACGCTTCTTCCATTTTTGGAACCTAGACCGGGTTTCACGGGGGGATTCTACGGGTAACAGTACTGATTTTTTTTGCTAATTAATTCAGCTTAAGAGCTAATTAATTCGCCCAGGTGTACCTGTTGTAATCCTTAATTAGATACAGAATTAGTGTCCGGAATTCTCGTCGGAAAAACGACCGTCTTCGCGGCGTCAGAGCCGATTATACCGGTTGATCAGGCCAAATCAGCAAACAGCTAAATGCTAAGTGGAGGTCAGTTTCCTGACTCCACTTAACACAAGCTTAGCACAGTGACAGAACTACACAAGTCGTGCAGTAGAATCACTCAAAAGACATGGCAACACACATCCATAAATGTATTTAACATAGGATATGAACAAATAGTTATTTACCTGCATCCTAGCTGAACTGGAGGAATGGAGAGGCACACAACACACAGACTGTGAATGACAAGGGAGAGCAGCGCTCCTTGGGGGCAAATAAGGAGATCACCCTCGTTTTTCACCCAGACACAGAAAATAGATTCTTGATATTAATTTAATGATTCAAAACCATTAACGAAGTGTACAATTTTAATAAAACCTGGCTGAGCTCGTCACTATGTAATGAATCAAATAGAGGGTAAATTGGATTAAATAAATTGCTTAAGAGCTATTTATTGCTATTATCATTACTTGTGACCACTAGCTGTAATACTCTATTAATTATAGAACATCACCTTGCTTGGTCTTGGGATGATTAATTAGAAGATTCTAGGATTCTTTTAATTATTAAGGGATCATTCACACTTCGGTTATGATTCAAGAACCAGTCAGTGTTTGCAAACAAACAAGCATTTATTTTACAAACAATTAAGACTTGACAGATTGTTTAAACTATTATGTGAGTGGATGCGAACTAAAAGATGGGTGTCTGAAAAGTATATGTGAATATAGTGTTAGAGTCAAAATCTCCGTATCTCAGAGAGGGGTGCGTTCTGGCTATAAAAGAATTTGGTTTGCAGATAAGCTATAAGCTGTTATTTATCAAACTGCATACAGACGCTATCTGTGTGTCTACATTACCGTAGAGGCAGCCTCTTGGTGGATCCGAAAGTCAGAGTGGTCGGATGACCGCTGGCACCGAAGGGCTGTAAAGTACCGAGGTGCCGTCCTTTCAGTCCTAGAGATGTGTCTCGGGTCACGACAGATGGATGGAAACCACACGTCTTAAAATAACTCTGAAGGAGTTTTGCAAAATCAGCTTTGTTCTGCAGGAAAACTATCTTGTTGTTCAGCTTCGCAGGTGCAAAAAGCTTTAAGGTTTTGACAGCGTGTCAAAATCTTTCTGAGCTAGAGATCTGCTAAGAGATGGCTAGTCTCCAGCTTTCTCTCCCGACTAACGAGAAAGCAGAGCGGTTGGTTTATATACCCGCTGTTATCTATTACCAAACTTACCAAGAATCTCAGAAACACACGCTCTGAGACGCAGAGTCTCTGAGTCTAGGGACAAGGTTAGTTATGTGTCATGCGTTCTTATCTTAACCTTACTCTCTGTCTGGTGTGAGCAGATGGTGATGACCTAATCCAGTAAACATACTTAAACAGTCCTTGAGTACAGATTCATGAACATTTCATTGCTTAATTATACATGGCAATATGTAATGATTTTAATCATAAAATCTTATTTCTTCCATGATTATTTTGAAATATAAAATGATTACTTTTAATTATGAAATCTTCTTTCTTCTGGGAATAAAGATTTATCTAAAACAGTTCTCTTGTGAAGGGCCTTGGCTGCTACTGTTCATCTTTATTATCTGATGAAGCTGCGCTCAGCTGATGAAGTCATCTGATTAAAATTCTGAGTTGTGCAGACTCACAGACTCCTGACAAGGGAAGAGACAGCAAAACGTGTAGTAGCCAGGGTTATTTGCTCTAGCTGCATATGACCTGTGGGATCTTTAAAATCAGGCCATTTGGTGACGTTACTCCATCCAGATTTGATTCGCCATCGGCACCGAAATTTGACCACAGGATGTCATTCTTACTTCATGCACCTTTAATGGTCATTTAGTTTATTTTACACCCCCATTATGTGTTTTTATTTTTTCAAGAATAAATTCTAAAGCTAGACGTGGATATTTTTCATCACCCTGCTGGTCGAGACCCTGACTCTTTTACAGTATATAATTTATCTTCAGTAAAAATAATTCCAGGAGGTTCCAATCTACCATCAAATGTCAGAAAGACAAAACTGGTTTCAATTAAATGCACGGTATCTGTGGTACAGAAAGCATGGCCGTGGAGCTATACTCGAGGTACAGGAATTATTGTTTCCATGACACCCACGTGGTTTGCATCATGAATATGGTCATGTGAATCCAAATGAATCAAAAGAATCAAAGTTACAACTGCTTTGTGGTTTTCTCCCAGCCAGGTCTTTAGACAAACTGTACAACTTTGCCGACTGCGCCGGTCTGCACCTGATCCTGGGGCTCAACGCTCTGCACAGAAACCCAGACAACTCCTGGAACACCTCCTCCACGCTAAGCCTCCTGAAGTACAGCGCTGGCAAGAAGTACAACGTCTCCTGGGAGCTGGGCAATGGTCAGTACAGCAGCGTACCACATGCAGCCTTGTCAGGAGTTCTTTATTAGGTTATACTCGGCAGTAAAAAGTATTTTTTTAAGGGTTTTCTTTTGACAAACTTCCACTTCCATTCAGTGTATTAAGACATTTTCATTATATCGACTGGATGTTTCCACACAACTCAAAAATTTTGAGCAGTTTATTTAAAAGTGATGCTTTAAAAAGTTAATTTTTACACTTTTGTTAATGCAACTCAGACAAAAAGCAGTATTTTAGTCTCTCTGAGGTTCTTCTGCCTCTTGATGTGATCTAAGACTGACTCGGTGATGTTGAGGTCAGGGCTCTCTCGGAGTTATACCATCTGCTGCAGACCTCTTCGTCTGCTGTCGCTGCTGAAAATACTTCCAGGGGCTCTGGCTCTGTGTTCGGGGTCCCTGTCATGGAGCAGAATGAATGAGGGTCAAAAGCCTCCTGATGGTGTGTTAGAAAAAAATCTGAAGACCCAAAGTTGTGCTATCAGCCTATAAATAGGGAAAAGGGTTAGCCATGACCCATAATGCATTTCAATGCTTCCTTTCTTTAAAAAAAAATTTTTTGATTAGAGCGCAGCTTTCGGACACGTTGCGTCATATGGATCGCATTAATTTCAGAGGACATGTACAGACAATGCTTCAAATCAATGCAAGTAACGCGTGGCAGCCATTTCAAACACGCGTTGTTAAACATCAAGTTTATCATGGCCCTAACACGATGCAATGTCCGAACGCTGCAATATGCAAGTAAGCAGTAGGGGAGTTGACAAAACGAGCGAGACACACTCACCATAATGACTCCCTCTCGGGATGTCAAAATTAACCAATTACTAAGCTCTTTTATTGATGTCATGTTGGCTGGTCTGAGTTCTCCAGTGCGTCCCCTAGTGGAACACTCTTGTGCTACATGCAGTGCAGTGCCTTGTAGCAGCAAGTATGTAAACAAAGACGCAGCCTGCTGCCTTTGCCAAAGCGAGGTTGAACAGCAAGTATATTCCAGGACTAAGACGTAAAGCACAAACAGAAAACCTATGAACCAAAAAATTTACTAATTTTGAGTGACTATAATACTAAATTGATTGATTTAATCATTATTTGACAAGGGCATTGCTGTCCAGCATAGTACAAGATATAGCTGATGTGATGCATTCAGAGTTTATAGCAAATGCTAACTTAGTGGTTTATCCAAGGATAAATGCTACAATGTTTTACTGCTGCATGACTCATTTGATTCAACTTTAATGGGCATTGAATCTCACAACAAAAGCTTTCATGCATGCGAAAAATAATATGCAAAACCCACTGATCCAAACATTTCATAGTTTTACTGAGAATTTGAGTAGAAACTAAATTAATCATTTTATGTAAATAGTCCAGGAAGTTCAGATGCAGAGCAGAATTTACAGAAGTTGAATGAAAGGTAAATGAATAAAGCAGCAGATGTATGGCTAGTACTTTTTGGGTGAACCGTTTCCTTCGCTCTGTTTTAATGGACCTGAAGGCCACCCTGTGTGCTCGGACCATTCCCCTGGCACAGAGTCCATCCGTCCGTATTACAGGGAATTGCCCAATTATCCCGTTTTCTTTTTTTGAACTGGCTGTTGGATATTCTCTCAGATAACAAGATGTGACTACAGCAACAATACTCTCTGTCCCCTCTCAAGTGCTCCTTGTGTAAACTACATCTCTGGCTCATTATGTTGCGTCTCTTCTTTCCAGAACCGAATGCCTACCGCAGCTTGATGGGTCGTGCGGTCAACAGCACCCAGTTGGCTCAGGACTACACCAAACTACGCACGCTCCTGCAGTCTGTACGTTATTACCACCGAGCTCACCTCTTTGGCCCCAATGCAGGACGACCCCGGAAAAATGCTATGTTGCTGCTGGATGGGTGAGTCTGACTGCCACTGCACAGGAATCCACCTTTCTTTAACTAATTTGGTTTCACAAATAGGGAAAGTGTTTGAGGCTTTAGAGAGATATACCAGGTTTCATGCACACATAGCAGAGCCCAGTGTTTATGAATTTCCACTCTGTGGGTTTCAGTGTCTTTGCTCTACTTACGCCCCATCAGCCTAAATAAAGTGTCGTCTGATTGATAACGTGATGGCGCCATATCCCACCTGCTGATTCCAGCCAGAAGCTGCAGCAGCTTTAGCTTAACTCTGGTTGCTTATTTAAGAGAAACCTCCTAAATGTAACCTGTGATGTGGGATTACACCAACACTCACCAGAGTCAACGTTTTAAAGCAAAACACGAGGATTTAGATTCCTTTCTGTATTTACAAAGTCCGTGGTTCTGTTGTTTTACTGTTATTTGATAGTCTTCACATTAGCAGATTATGTTCATTAAACTTTCTTGGCACAAGATTTATAAGTGATTAACTTTTACACCCATTTGTGCTACATGGTTCTCTACTGCCTCTATAAATGCTCCAAATGTGAGAAATCCCATCCATTCGTTGCCTTTTAGTGTTAAGTTTTAGGAATTACTAGGCTAAAAACAAGCCATTTCAAAAAGTCCCTGTTTGTGATGTCACACACAGGGAAATTAGAATAGACCTCCCACATGCAAGAGAGAGCTGCAGCTGGAGAAGCGGTGGTTCTAATCCAAGCCCCTGCCCGATATCGGAGATTCTCAGGTTATAGCATGGAGAATGGGTGGGCGGGGCCAGCTCCAGCTTGTTTTCTTAAAGTGACAGAGCCCTGAAATGACTCATTCTGGAAGGTACTGAAACTGTCAAGAATAAAACTACTGACATCACTTCACGTGAGAGGGACTTTGTGTAAAGAACTTAATTAAAAAGGTGTTGTATCCACCACAGAACTGTTAGGACTTATGACAAAATATTAAAATTTGTCCACTTAATGATGTCTATACCATACAGAATAATAGTTTTGTTATTTCAACGCCTTTTCATTTTCTGCACTAACAATGGCTTTTAGTTTCTTTTCAGATAAACAATGAAAACAAGTTTAATTGACTTTAGCATCTTTTTTTCAAGTTTTACAAATATCTTTTGCCAAATTTTAGGATTTCTGGACTTTTCTATGTCTGACTTTATGAAAGAAAAGCATCAATGTTTTTTTTTTGGCCCACCTGTTTTTTATTATCTTGGTCCTGAGAATGAATTTTCAGTTGTAGCTCAGCTCAGGAGGTAGAGCGGGTTGTCCAGTAATTGGAAAGTCGCAGGTTCGATCCTGACACCCACCAGAGAATGTTGCTGTTGTGTCCTTGAGCAAGACACTTAACCCGTCTTTCTTGCTGGTGGAGGTCAGAGGGACTGATGGCACCTGTGTTTGGCAGGCCTTGTCTCTATCAGTACGCCCCAGTGCAGCTGTGGCTACATCATAGCTCATCTCCACCAGTGTGTGAATGTGTGTGTAAATAGGTGAATGACTGACTGTGTTGTGAAGTGCCTTAGGGGGCTTGTAGAAGGGTTGTATCTTGGGGTTGTATAGCGCCTTATATACAAATAGAAGGTGCTATACAAATACAGGTCATTTAACGTTTAGTTTTTTGTAATTTGGGGGTCACAAATGAGTCCACTGGCCACAATTTGGATCCTTTGGATCCCTTATTTAACCATAACATAGTAGATTCTCGCTGAAGGGATCAAGTTATGTACGTAACCAAAAAAGGTGAAATAACTGAAAACATGTTTTATATTCAATTTTCTTCAAAATAGCCACCATTTGCTCTGATTACTGCTTTGCACACTCATGGTATTCTCTTGATGAGCTTCAAGAGGTAGTCACCTGAAATGGTTTTCCAACTGTCCTGAAGGAGTTCCCAGAGGTGTTTAGCACTTGTTGGCCCCTTTGTAAAAGGTCATGGTCATAAAAGTAAGGACAACACATTGAATGAGAAGGTATGTCCAAACTTTTGGCCTGTACTGTATAATGTAGAAAAATAAAAATAGAAATCACAATGCAAAACAACAACAAATATTATTTTCCGCTGTAGGTTTTATTTGCCAATTTTATTTTAGAAAAGGTATTACTTGATCAATCATTCTATTGAATAACAATATCTCTGAACTATTTTAGTTCTTTTTAAAACTCTCTTTTGGTTATTTAATTGTCTGCGAAATGCCCCAAATGTTTAATCTTTTTGTTTCTAAAGAGGTCAAACAAAAGTGGTGTTTGTAAAGCAATGCTAATTCTTTCTCTAAACTAAAAAAAAAAAAAAACTCAACATGCAGAATTTAGCTTAATCTATTTTCACCACTCATCCATCCATTCATCCATGCATCTGAGTTGCACCGTTACAATAAGGACGGAGGGATGCAGGAGCTGTCTTTATTTTTGCCAAGTGCTTACAGTTTAAATAGGCCATTAATAAAGGGTGTGTGTTTGTGCTGTACAGTTCAGACTGATTAATGAGCAGCAGTCTAATGTTCTAATGGGATGAGCTGAATGTAAAGGAGAAGCGATGAGAAGAGCAGAGAGCTGGAGTATCCGTGGGTCACCGGTGTCGTATTTAACAAGCAACGATTCTTGTGTGTTTGACACTGTTACGAGGGAGCGGGGGTTCGGGGGGACTTTTGTGTTTGACAACCGGACCACTCTGCTGCTCTCAGGAGGGAAGACGGATTCGATGCTGAACTTCTCAACATCCAAATATCAGGGCTACAAGACTAAACAAGGCACGCTGGTGAAAGTTGTGTTTTTTAGTGACATGATGTTTGGAAATACATTTTAAGGCATGTTTGATATGCGGTTTGACCCAAATATGGAGCGATTTGAGTCAGGTGGAAAAGCACACAGATGTAGGAAGGCAGATAACAGGAGGAGCTATATTTAGGAGACCATGGATGAGTCCTTTAATAGGCAGTCTTTAAAGGTGTGGAACACTGAAAAATATTTCTGATAATTGGTCACTGTTTATCGTGCAGGCTGAACATGAAAATAGTCTCCTACACCGATCTCCTGCATTAGCTTCTGATAGAAAAAAAGACATTGAAACGCTATGATTTGCTCTATATCAAGCATCGCTTGGACTCGCCCATCTTGGCTTGCGACAGAGAAGGCTGTTGTTTTAGTGTCCAAGAAAGAGCATTGAACATCTCGGCTAGCAGAAGCTAACTGTTAGCATTAGCAACTCAATGGCACAACAGAAGCTTGTCCAAGCTTGTGTTACTTGTAGAGATAAAACATCAACGTCGCAGAGCAAACAGAGTTAGTGGTAGAGTTGCGCTGCTGTTATCCAGTATGAGGCAAAAAGTCCAATCTTATCAGGAGATACGACCCAAAGTCCTTCTGTCTTCTGCCTCTCTGTGGCAGCAGACTTGTTCATGCTGATCCAAGTGCTTCTGGGGTCCCCCAAGTACAACTTGCAAGTAGGGATGCACCGATCAGGTTTTTTGCTGCCGATCACCGATACCGATATCAAAGAATGCTGATCACCGATACAGATCACGTGGATTGGTCAGAAATTTTCTACAACATTATAATGAGTGCTACAAACTACATAATCTGGGAATAAAGGAAATGTAACCTAATCTAAAATGGTCTGTATTGGGTTGTCACGGTGTGAAATTTTAACCTCACGGTTATTGTGACCAAAATTACCACGGTTTTCGGTTTTATCGCGGCATTTTTTTAAACGTGCTACATTTTCACACAATTAAATAAACCCTGTATGTCAGGAAATATTGTCATCAGTTTGTGTCTAAAATTTGCCTAAAATGTGTTATTTTGTAATTATGTTGTTTATTTGTTTACATTTTTTCCCTTTAGTCTTTAAAATACCAATATTTGCCCATAACTTCTTATTTGATGTCTGTTTGATGTCATCAATTTAAAAATATTACATCAGATGATACTCAGTACTCAAGTAGCCTTCTAATCAGATACTTTTTTACCCTTACTTGAGTAATAAACCCTATATCAGGAAAATATTGTCCTCGGTTTGTGTCCTTCCAGTGAGCTTTGCAGATGTGGGAAAATGTCATCAGGCAGTAATCATTGTTAAATTCATAATTATTCTCGGAGAGAGACCAACTCTTATCTGCCCCTGGGAGCCCCGTAATGCATAGCGTCATTTCAACATGGCGGTGTCCTCGACACAGTTTATATTTAGGTAGCGGCGCTGCGGCTGCTTTATATAGCAACTCGTTGCATTCTCCCTCAACCCAAATCCTCGGATCACGCATTTTAGCTAAAACACTAACGCTAACTTGCCTTGCGTTGACTGTAGAGTTGTGGGTGATGGTCACGCAGATGTGTCATGAGATTTGAAGCGTTGCTGCCTTTCACAGACACTTTTTCTGCACGTGCTGCAAACAGGATAGCCGTCTTCTATCAACTGCCCCTCGGCATTCTTCAAATATCCAAAAAGTGCCCGTACTTCCGACTTTGTCTTCTTTGAGGGATAATAAATGTCCTCTTGAGCACTGCCGTCTCCTCCTTTGGCCGTTATTTCAGCTTTAGCTTCAAGAAAGTTTTGGTTGTAAACAGCAAAGCGCGCATGTGCCGCCGGCAACTTCAGCAGATGATACGGTGGCTGGTAAGGGTTACCGCGCCTACACCGCAGCCACGGTAACCCACCGAGATAATATAGTTTTTTTTAAAAACAAGACGGTTATTATTATTGTCAACTTTTTTACCAGGGTTTACCGCTACACCGGTTACCGTGACAACCCTACCTGATCGGTCTGCTTTGATCTATTTTGAAAACTCTGATCAAAACCGATAGGGGCGCTATCAGCCGACTGGAATCAAATGCCGATCCATCGGTGCATCCCTACTTGCAAGGCATTCATTATTACTAGAGACCACTGCAAATGTATTAATTAAACACCTGTGTTGGTGGTGGTCAGAGGGGCCGACGGCGCCAAATGGCAGCCTCGCCTCTGTCAGACCGCCCCAGGGCGGCTGTGGCTACGTAGTAGCTTACCATCCCTGGCAGTGTGTGTATGTAAGAGTTCACGCAAGCATCTTTGAGTGTCGTAATAAAGCGCTATATAAGTTCGATGATGATGATGATTATTATTATTATTAATCAAGTGTCTTTAGAAGATATTTGAATATGTTTTAGACTTTATTATATTTTTTCTATGAATTGATTATTTAGAGTTCTGCAGTATTTCAAAAATTTGCAGAGATATAAAGAAGTATATATACTCAGAAATATTGTGATATTATGTGTTATGATACTGAATTGAAATTTAATAAACACTTTTTATTGAGAACGTACAAGCTAACATATATTTTATTTGCATATGTGTGTGTGGTGTTATTCAAACTCCGACCGCTAGATGGCAGCAGTTTTCATTATGATGGAACCGCGACATCTCCCATTAACTCTGGATGTGTTTTGAAAGTGTCTGATCTGAGTTTTAAATACATTTCATCTTAAAAATTTCAAGTGTCTGGAATTTAGTATCGCAAAATATATCATATTTTTTCCCTTGTATTGTGATAAATATATCGTTTCGCCAGATTCCCCACATATTAATGTATGTTTCTGTTAAAAGAAAATATCTTAAATGGATACAAGTCAGAACCAGAGTTCATCTGCAAATACAACATACAGAAAAAAGAGACCACTTTTACTACACATATCATTATAATAACGCTATTTATAGCACTTCTACTGACAAAATAAAATTATACTTGTGCAACTTTCAGTTCATCATGCTAGCTAAACATGTCAGGTGTGTAGATATTTATTAGTGTTGTGTTTTTTGTTACATAGTTTTTTTTATTTCCAGTCAAAAGCAACCTCTCTAATGTTTTAAATCCAGGATAATGCTGGAAAATGTCAAATTTAGAACTTCCCTTGATTGTTATGGCCTCATAAAGAATCTTGTAGGCATGCAACTTGTTGACAACAACAAAAATCTTTCTGTTTCTTTATAAAAAATTATGTTAGCACCTAACAACTGAGTCCTTTTTCAGCAAGGATTAGTTTTTAAATGACTGTGTCCTTTATTTCTTTCAGATTCATGAGGAATGCTGGTTCTGTTGTAGATGCTGTAACGTGGCAACAGTAGGTATTTTACCCCTTTTTTCCTTTTTATATTATTATTGTATTCTGTTATCTTATTAACGACACTCTTTAATAACAAATAATCTTCACACTTTAATGATTTTACACCACTGTCTCAGCTTTGAGTATGTGGAGTAGCCAGCATAAACCATTAGCCCTGGTCCTGAGGAAGGCTGATGCGAAGGACTTTGTTTATTTTTCCAATGGAACAACAGGAAAAGAAGCCCAAGAGTGTCTTAAATGAGTACCACCTGCTATTTGTCTATTGCACATACTTTAGGAATGCATGCCGATCTATCAGTGTTTTGATCTTATCTCCCTACAAGTTCTGTCCAAGTCTATTTACGCACGGATGTAATACGCACACAAATGGCCACACCCACCATGAGCTCAGACAAGGCGAGTGCGACTGTGAGCGGTCATTAAGGTGAAGGTCAGGTCTAATTAGGAGAAATTGAAAGTAACGGAAGGTGGAAGGGCTGTCAGTACAACTTGGAAAAACACCACCCACACTGTTAAAATCAAACCATATGCTCTGGCTCATTCCCTCTGTCAATTAGCCAGTTTTACACTCAAGGTCCAGATTCCAGTCTAACCAGGCTGCGTGACAGAAACTGACCTCTATAAAGCAAAGCAACCTAACAAAAATGAAGCACCTTTATTAACATGTTTTACTCCACTGCAGCTGTCTGATTTTGTTTTTATTTAGAGACACAGCCCTCTTTGTTTACGTTATTTACTGTTTCAGGACATTACTTATTTTCATTTGTCTTAATCTATAATTACACTTTTGCTGTTGGAGGAAAGTCAGATGTTTGCTTATATCTAGATCCTGCAGATGCATTAACTTACTACTAACATTTATTTTACCGATAAACTCCATAAAATGTTTTCATTCTTCTGTCTTTTTTCGTTTCTGTCTCATATTTCTACATTTATCTGTATTTTTCTTCTCAAAAACTCTATAAGACTCACCAATTCCAAAGACGCTCACCTTGAATGGTTGGATCATTTTCTTTCAAAACAATGAAACTCTAAACCAGACTGTGATAGACCTAAGGTAAATAATAGTTCAATGCTAAAGCTGAGAGTTCCTTCAAGCACATGGCAGAAAATTCTCCAGAAAGTCTTTGAACAAAAGTGCAAGGTAGGAAACCAAAGCCTATCTTCCCACTAATAAAAATGGACACAACAAATCCCTGCATGGACTCAGGTATGTTTGCAGTGCTAAGTCAAGGTGCTACAAAAGGTCTAATTTAAATTTTTTACATATTTTTTTATTGGATGCTTCCGCATTTTGTCCATAATTGTTGTATAAACATATTTTGTACATCTGTTGTGAAATACCTTATTCTCTCTCACTTTAGGCGTGATATTTGTACAAGTGTCAGTGTTAGGCCATCGGCTTGGTCCGTGCCGCTACCTACTGCGTGATAGATTACAGCTAAACTTTTTTACAAACATCTACCATCCCTTGAGGTTTATTCTTAGCGCATAATCTTTGACGTTTGCTCCAGAGCTGCCATGAGGTTGGCATTTGTGGTTTTAGCCAAACACTTCAATCTTACCACTTAACTACACCCAGGCCCTCCATCCGTATTTACTGTGAGCTGGCTCACCTACAGGAGGTTGCTTCACAGTGTGAGATTTCATGCAGTCAAAAATGTCTGATTTGACGGCTCGCTGTGAAAAATATGAGTAAGAAAAATGAACGAGACAAATTTGCCCTTTTGTGCAAAAGTTGCTGTTTAGATGCCTCTGAGCAAGACACATAATTTGAGCCTAATTGTTCCAGCTGTGTGTATTAGTGGTGTGAACATCTGCATGTGAAGTGTGAAGAAATCTCCTGCTGGTAAACTCTGCCATTGGAAAAGTTGCACTTAAATCAGTGCTTCTTTGAAAAGGCAGCACTTGTGCTAATCATCAGAAACAAAGGTGCGTTTGTGTGTATAAATATATATATATATATATATATATATATATATATATATATATATATGTATACACATACATATATACACATATATATATATACATACATATATATATATATATATATATATATACACACACATTTATACATACATATATATATACACACAGATATACATACATATATATATATATATATATATATATACACATGTATACACGTGTATACATACATATATATACATACATATATATACATATATACATACATTTGTATACATACATACATATATATACACATATATACACACACACACACATATCTATATATATATATATATATATATATATACACATATATATATACACATATATATATATACACACACATATATATATACACATATATATATATACACACACATATATATACACACACATATATACCATCTTGGAGTAAACCAAGATGGCGCCGAGTATGGCTGCCTCGTCGCGAGCTCCACCAAGCAACAGCTGTTTTTTGTGTTTACTACTTTTTCTTTTTCTTTATTTTTTCACGAGTAGCACATGTCTCCTTGTATACGACCGACAAACCTTACTGGACATAAAAGATGGATTTTCTCATTACTTTCCGGAGTTCAGGGTTTTCATCACGGACCCGCCGTTTGCAGATCCCACATTCATCTCACCTGAGACGCCTTTGTTATGGGCCTGTGGAGGCCGCAAGCGCCGACGCAGAGGGAGAAGATCTGGCGTTCTGGTTTGACTGAGACGGCGCACTAACAGACCACCATTACCCAGTTTACTACTGGCTAATGTGCAGTCCCTGGAGAACAAGCTGTGCGAGCTTCGGGCTCGGATCTCATTCCAGCGAGAGATGCGGGACTGCTGCGCGATCTGCCTCATAGAAACCTGGCTATCGGACAAAGTACCGGACACCGCAGTACAACTACCGGGGTTCTCCGTGCACTGCGCGGATAGGTCACAGGAGCTTACTGGGAAAAGCAGAGGTGGCGGTGTGTGTTTCATGATCAACAACAGCTGGTGTGATTATGCGAACGTGCACCCGGTCAAATCCTTCTGCTCTCCGGACCTGGAGTACCTGATGATTAAGTGCCGGCCATTCTGGCTACCGAGAGAATTCACAGCGGTTATTATTACGGCTGTTTACATTCCCCCACAAGCCGACACTGACCGAGCGCTCAGGGAACTGTACAGCGCAATCAGCAATGAGGAAACCGTACACCCAGAGGCGGCGTTTATTACAACCGGGGACTTTAATAAGGGTAACCTGAAGAAAGTCACCAAAACTACACCAACACATCCATTTCAATACACGTGGAGACCGGCTACTCGACCACTACTACACCTCTTTCCGAGATGCGTACAAAGCCCTCCCCCGCGCCCCATTCGGCCAATCAGATCACCGCTCCATCCTGCTTATACCTGCCTACAGGCAGAAGCTGAAACGGGAAGCTCCAACCCTGAGGGCGGTGCATCGTTGGTCGGATCAATCGGAGTCTGCGCTGCAGGATTGTTTTGATAACGCAGACTGGGAAATGTTTCACGCGGCTGCTAGAGACATTGATGAGTACACAGACTCAGTCTGCGGATTTATCAGAAAATGCGTGGAAGATGTTGTCCCATCCAGAACAGTTAAATCCTTCCCAAATCAAAAACCCTGGATTAACCCTGGTAAGGTGTGCGAACGGCGCTGGCGGTGCTCCGCACCGCCTTTGCCTCTGCGAACACATCAGACTACAAACACGCACATTACCAACTCCGGAAGACGATCAAAGCAGCCAAACGTGAGTACAGAGACAGGGTGGAGCAACAGTTTGACAACCCCCGGAGTATGTGGCAGGGACTAAACACAATCACAGACTTTAGAGGGAAAACCAGAACACTGCTGACCACGGCCTCTCTGTGTGAGGATCTAAACGCATTCTATGCCAGATTCGACACAGCGAGCACCATGAGATCGGACAGTGAGCACACCGCAGATGACGTCAGTGCGCACACTAGGGCCTGCACGACTTTATTTTTTTTAAAGTCGACAGTCAAGTAATGAAAGTCGAGTCGACTTCGACTAGTCGTTGATGACGTCATACGCCGGAAGCGGGGGGGGGGGGGGGGGGGGGTTGTCGGTCGGTAGGTTCGCTGGAGTTTTTGACAATTAAAATTGCGCCCACATTTTCTAAGTTAACACATCTCTTAACAATGGTATTTTCTGCATCCTACTTCAGTCATCTCCCCCCTCCACCTGCGCAGCAGCCGCAAACTCACTGATGCGCCTGCAGCCTTTCCTGCTGCTCTAAACATTAAAATAATTATTTTCTGTTCCTCACTTCTGATGACCTTCAATGGTGTCTGTTTGTTGCAACCACCAGGTACAAAAACTAACTTGTTTTTATTTGACTATTTTTCTGTCCTGCCTGTCTATTATCTTCCTGCATCTCCTCTCAATCCTAAAGAGAAACTGCTACCTGGGTTCATATATATTCACCTCATGAGTTACCTTTGAACTGCAGTTCTAAAAGATCTACCGACCGCTAAAACAGCGGAGTGCCGCTGCTCGCCGGCTGACTACAACGGGACCGTTTTTGCTGCGGAGTTCATGCCGGAGCAGAGCGGAGTGGAGATAGTGGAATCGTGGGGGTGCGTCACCGGAGGACAACAGGTGATGCGCCTCGCTCCGCAGCAGCGAAACGCATCAGGCACAAATAACAGACAGAAAAAATGAAAGGAAATGAGCCGACATGAACGATCGCGTGTTTAATTTGTTTTTGAGGTGGTGACACCTGATGTGGCGGTGCTCAGGACGCAGATGTCTGGAGCGCACGTCAACGATCAGAGCTTTGCATGCACAAACTGGTTAAGATTAGGATGGGGGTGAGGGGAAGGTTAAATTGCAAGAGGGAAAAGGTCACAGTTTGGTTAAATGTCCGTTTTACCGCCGGTGTCAGTACCGCACAGCGTGTCGCCTCCGCCTCGATCCAGACGCGCAGGGGCTCATCACCTGCTGTCTTTTCCGAGGACTGCATCTTGTCAGTCATTATCACGTGACAGCGACTAGTTGATGACAGGCATAAAAAGTCACTACAGAGCCGTGAAGTCGACTAGTCGACTAGTTC